ACCTGTTACACTTTTCCTTGATTTCTGGAAAGATTCTTTTATAGTATTTTATTATTTTTATTGTAGTTAGTATTTTAATTATCATATTGTCAATAACAATAAAACTGTATAGATATTAATAGCACTAGAAAATTGTTTATTTTCCTGCAAAGTCAAGGAATGGGGAAATAAGGCATGGTCACTAGAGCCTACTAAATTAACTCTTTGCTATTAAGCTTTATGTTCTATGGTTGCTGTACGAAGAGAGAAGCATAGTATAGCACTGACTGTGATAATTGAATTATTCATTCTGGATTCGGAGTAGAGGAGTTCTGGTTAGGATTTGCAATGATTTTGGATTTCTAAGAGATTTTGTATGTCTGATTAATTAATTGTTTTTTGTTTTTTCTATCTGCAAAGGATGGATGCAAAGTAAGTACCTTCATCACATTTTTGGAATCGTCCGTTTCAGGCTTAAGAGCATGCGTTTAGATTTCATGCATATTTGTATTTGCATTTTTTGAATTTTAAGTAACTGAGGCTGTGACTTGCCTTTGTAGTTTAGTTAGAAGGCAGGTAGGGATTAATAAAAAAGGTGTTAAAGAAAGAACTGAGGAAAAAGAAATAGTTATTATTTCAATATAAAATATAGCCATTTTTTTTTAGTGGAAGAAAAACTTGGAGTATTGGATACATAAAAAAAAAGGTTTCTTAAAACACGTCAGTCTTGTGATGATATATTTTTTTCTTGGGAATTCAGATAAATTGGAAAGAAAATCAGTTATGGTCATTGATAAGATTAATGCTTTGAGGTGTCAAGGAACTTTATTGAGGGCAGGTGGGCCCAGATTTTAAAAGGGTTTTGAATTATATAGAAGCAATTTTTACCCAGAAAGATTCATGGTGTTACATTGCCGAAAATGAAAGTAGAATATTGTTTTCATAAGGCTGTAAAAATAGATGATAAAGTAATTGTTTTGTTGCAATATTTGGTCATTCTGTTTGCTATAGAAAGTTGTTGATTTGAAATGTATTTACTCAAATTTGGAAATTAGTGGGGGGAAATATGCTATATGAATTAGCTTGAAGAAACTCGTGCATAGGTTGATAGAGCTTTATCCAGTACATGCTGAGAGATAATTATCAGAGTGGAAATGAGGACTACCATTGCAGAGATAAAGAAGAGATAAAAATGACGGAAGTGTATTGTTCGAGTTACTTGAAAGCTGCATGAAAGTTCAGGGCAATGACCAAGACCCAATGTAATTCAGAAGAGGAAGATATTTATAGGTAAGTTGGGATGGAGGATATGAAATGAATCAGGCGAGGACAAGCAGTTCCTCTTACGTCACTAGATATATAAAAAAAAAAAAAAAAAAAATCAAATTTCTGAGATAATATCTTTTATCTTCACCCAACTGTCATGATTCCTCAGTTAGGGAAAAAAATTGTAGCTGATTCATTTTAAAAGTTGATTTGAATGCTGCTCTTTCTGTGTTATCTGTCTTTTTGTTCCTCTTTTCTGTTCATTCAAGTTCACCCTGGTCAAGTTCCTACGCATCCTAAGTTGCCGTCGTACTTCCCGGCTGAATGTAGCTAATTAACTTGCTCAGAACGTCCCTGTCTTGTAGTTATCATGTGATTATCATTTACATAACCTAGGTATCTTGTACTTTCCTGGTATTATTGCCTTGTGTATAGTGACAGGGATTTTTTCCTTGTTTGTTCATGCCAGATATGATTTGATCCATACATTTAGCTTATTCTGTGAATTAGTAGTCTATTAATTGGTCCCCCCTCTCTCTCTCTCTCTCTCTCTCTCTCTCTCTCTCTCTCTCTCTCTCTCTCTCTCTCCCTCTCTCCTCTCTCTCCTCTTCTCCTCCTCTCTCTCTCCCTCTCCTCTCCTCTCCTCTCCCTCCTCCTCTCCTCTCCCTCTCTCTTCCCTCTCCTCTCTCTCTCTCTTTCCTCTCCTCTGCTCCTCTCTCTCTCTCTCCCTTTCCCTCTCTCCTCTCTCTCCCTTCCTCTCTCTCTCTCTCTCCCTTTCCCTCCTCTCCTCTCCTCTCCCTTTCCCTTTCTCTCTCTCTCCTCTCTCTCCTTCTCTTCTCTTCTCCCTCCCTCCTCTCTCCTCTCTCTCTCCCCTTCCCTCTCTCTCTCTCTCTCTTCCCTCTCCTCTTCTCTCTCTCTCTCTCTCTCTCTCTCTCTCTCTCTCTCTCTCCTCTCTCTCTCTCCTCTCTCTCTCTCTCCTCTCTCCTTCTCTCTCTCCCCCCCCTCCCTCCCTCCCTCCTCCCTCCCCTCTCCTCCCTCCCTCCTCCCTCTCTCTCTCTCCTCTCTCTCTCCTCTCTCTCTCTCTCTCTCTCTCTCTCTCTCCTCTCTCTCTCTCTCTCTCTCTCGCTCTCCTCCTCTCCCCTCCCTCCTCCTCCCTCCTCTCTCTCTCTCTTCTCTCTCTCTCTCCCTCTCTCTCCTCTCTCCCTCTCTCTCTCTCTCCCTCCCTCCCCTTCCCTCTCCCCTCCCTCCCCTCCCTCTCTCTCTCTCTCCTCTCCCTCCCCTCCCTCCCTCCCTCCCTCTCTCCCTCTCTCCCCCTCTCCCCCATCCTCTCCCCTCCTTCCCCCCTCCCTCCCCTCCCTCTCCCCCTCCCTCCTCTTCCCTCTCCCTTCTCCCTCTCCCTCTCCCTCCTCCCTCTCCCTCTCCTCTCTCTCTCCTCTCTCTCTCTTCTCTCTCTCTCCTCTCTCTCTCTCTCTCTCTCTCTCTCTCTCTCCCCTCTCCCCCTCCCTCCCTCCCTCCCTCCCTCTCCTCTCTCTCTCTCTCTCTCTCTCTCTCTCTCTCTCTCTCTCTCTCTCTCTCTCTCTCTCTCTCTCTCCTCTTTCTTTCTTTCTTTCTTTCTTTCTTTCTTTCTTTCTTCTTTCTTTCTTCTTTCTTTCTTCTTTCTTTCTTTCTTTTTTCCCTCCCTTCCCTCCCTCCCCTCCCCCCTCCCTCCCCCCCCCCCCTCTCTCTCTCTCTCTTCTCTCTCTCTCTCTCTCTCTCTCTCTCTCTCTCTCTCTCTCTCTCTCTCTCTCTCTCTCTCTCTCTCTCCTCTCTCCTCCTCTCCTTCCTAGGGAATCTTCTGCTGACTCATGGCTTTACAATTCTTATCTGAGCTAATTAATTTACTACAGCCTTATCAAGATCATTGTCGTGTGCGGAATCATAAACCTGAATACCATAATAACAGTAACAAGTGGTTGGGATTATAAGATTGTAGTACATTGGCTTTTGACGTGAGAGGGAGTGTGTGGCAAGTAAGCATGTGGCAAAGAGATAAGTGACTTTGAAGTAGAGGCGGGTGGCATTTCCTTCCTCAGCTGAAAGAAATGACAAGACTTTGATATTGTTTAATGTGCATCATTTTGTGTTTTTCCAGTATCTTGGATGTGTATGGGAAGTTGTTTTTCTTTTCTTTTTTTTAACAGGATGACTGTATGTTGTATGATGTAATGACATTGATAGTAGTAATGGTAGCAACAGTGATAGAATACTAATAAGGTAATATGATGAGGGCAAGGGCTTTGTACATGCATAATTCAAAACAAGGATAAATATTTTTGTGTTCCAAAAAAGAGAAAATGCAATAAACAACAAGAAAAGAAAAAGAAAAAGAAAATCTTAATCCTACTATCCAACTCCTCCACTTACTGTCATAGTAAGAAATTAATAACTGTATTGTAATTGTCAGATAAATAAACATGTATTATATCTCAGTACAAGGTCCTCCCCCCACCACTACTTCTTCCTGGGTACTTGAATCTAAACTAGAATTATTGACCTTATGCACCTGTAGAGGGATACTGGTGATCTTGTTTGTAGGATGGTAATCTTTAACCCACTAGCAACGGTACATTTTCAAGCCGAAAATAATATTTTCTGGGTGGTTTTGTTGCCCGCCATAGGCAACAAAATCTGAGCAGAAGCTCTGATCTAGCATTGCACTGTAATGTGTGACACCCGTCGTAAGTGGGTTAAGTATGAAGACAAAAATACTTTTTTATCGCATTTATATACTGAAGGAAACTGACCTGACCAACTGTTATTTTGAAATACTGATAAATGTCTTCTATCTGTACAGGTTGCACTAAGCTCCCACTGGGCAGGTGCAACAGGGCCCCTCACATCGAAGGTACAAGTATGGAAGACCCACAAGAGACTAGGGGTGCGAAACTGCTTCCACCCAGGAGCCAGTGCACTCTCCCGGGAATACGTGGGAGTCTCAGCGAAGGAGGTCACGGGGAGAGAGATGCTTGGGGCCCTGGCTTCTTACGTCTGGCCGAAAGTATGAGAAAAGAGTAAGGTGTTATGATTTATGGACAGACATGCATTGATGGATTGATATTGCCTTTATTAGTGAGACTTTTGGTGTCTCATTCTACCTTTCATGACCTTTCTTTTCTTGTGCATTTTTCCTTTATTTTCTTTCCTTTGAATTTCATACAGTATAATGTCTCTCAGTCTTGTTGGGTCTCCCCATATTCTTCATTATCCTCAACATTCATAGCCATGAATATCTTATGTTATTGAAAAGAGAAGAAAAATCTGAAAACTTACATTTTAGAAATATTGTGCATACAGAAAAAAAATCTTATTTGCTGTAGATTTAACCTAGTTCTTCCTCTTAACAGGGCAATGTGGCAGTTAAGGGGAGGGTGCTAACAGCGCTCAGCCTGCTTATTGGTGCTAAGCTTCTGAACGTACAAGTCCCTTTCATCTTCAAGGATGGCATAAACTACCTAAATGAACACACTGGCAACCTGTTGACAGTAGCTGAACCTGCCTCTGCTGTTGCTGCTACAGCTGTGTCACTGATGATAGGATGTGAGAATTCTTTTCTTTTTATTCTGAGATAGTTATATGTTGTGTTTTAGAAGAGTGTATGATAGGGATACCTTCTTACCTTGTACTATTTACCTGAATTCAGAATGTCAGGGGTCACTGTCTAGAATTCCTTAAGATGAAATATCTGTGTCAGAAAACATAATTGATTTCAAATTATCAGCATTGGTTTGCATAATGTTAAGTTTTTAAAGTAATTGATAATGCAGTACCTCAACAGATGGCATTGCTCGCACTGGAGCGGCTGGGTTCAATGAACTACGTAATGCAGTGTTTGCCAAGGTGGCACAGAACTCTATCCGAAAGATTGCTGGCAACGTGTTCCTTCACCTTCACAGTCTTGACTTGAACTTCCACCTGAATCGGCAAACAGGAGCACTATCCAAAGCCATTGACCGAGGGAGTCGGGGAATTAATTTTGTCATGTCGGCACTTGTTTTCAATATTGTGCCCACAATATTTGAAGTTAGCTTGGTTGCAGGGATATTGGTAAGTGAAGAAGATGTTTTATATATGTTTGGATAATGAATGATTGATGTTTAAAGAAAAAAGATAGTAAGATGTTCTTATAAAAATGTTTGTAAATTTTGTCTACAGGCATACAAATGCGGTTGGGAATTTGCAGGTGTAACCGTGGCCTCAATAATGGCATATGCAGCCTTTACTCTGGGTATAACACAGTGGCGAACTAAGTTTAGGGTGGATATGAACAAAGCTGAAAATGCGGCAGGGAATCGAGCTATTGATTCACTCATCAACTATGAAACTGTGAAGGTTTGTGTAACCTGACAAATTTGTTCTGTGTAGCAGTCACTAAATATAGACATTAAAAGAAAAGGATATCAAGTTTTTATTTACTTTCTACGTATTTCATGTGTATAACTTGATAGTGACTAATCGAAAAAGAATTTGTTGAATGTTTGGTTAATAATGGATTATGACCTTTTTTTTTTGTACAGTATTTCAACAATGAAGAGCATGAAGCCAAGGAGTATGACAAATATTTGAAAAAATATGAAGGGGCATCTCTGAAGACAGCTACCTCACTAGCCTTGCTCAACTGGGGACAGAATGCAATATTCAGTGTTGCTTTATCAGCTATGATGGTTCTAGCAACGAAAGAAATTCTTAATGGTAAGGTTTGGTGCTACATATTTTTTTTTTTTTTTTTTATCTTGGCTTGTCTTTCTTGGTCTGTTATTTATTTATTTATTTTTTTAGCAGTTTTGATACAGGTGTTGTGATGTAAGCATAGTGTTATAATAACTTTTCTCACTTGTGTAGGTAATTTGACCGTGGGGGATCTAGTGATGGTCAATGGATTGTTATTCCAACTGTCCTTGCCACTCAACTTCTTGGGGTCTGTTTACCGTGAGGTTCGTCAGGCGCTTATCGACATGCAAACAATGTTCACATTGATGAAACAGCCAGCTATTATAAAGGTACTGTTTCCATATTTATTATCTCTACTTGGTTGAAATTATATATATATATATATATATATTTATTTATTTACTTATTTATTTTGTTATTATTGATTGTATATGTGATCTTTAATTTTCTTGTGAGGACATAAGATTTATAATCTTGCATTCATCTCATTATGACCATTATTTTACATATACAGAAAAAAACTTAAGGTTTGTGTTTTCATCTGTTACAGAATGCCCCAGACTGTGTACCTCTACAAGTGACTCCTCAGAATGCAGACATTACTTTCAACAATGTATGCTTTGAATACAATGAAAATTACCCCATCCTAAGTGACCTAACGTTTACAGTACCGGCTGGAAAGAAAATTGCCATTGTCGGTGGTTCGGGTTCTGGGTAAGGTCTTTTTCTCTGACACCTGCATAAGAAGTACCATAAAGACTTGTTTGTTTGATTTTGTTAGAGTGTATATTCTCATGAAGTTGGGGTTTTGGTAATGTTATGGTGTAATAATGTTGAATTTTTATGAATAACCTGATGTGTGTTTCAATGAATACAGTTTACCTCTCTCTTCAGAAAATCGACAGTCATCCGTCTGTTGTATCGCTTTTACGAACCAAAGACTGGGACCATTACAATAAATGGACAAGATATTAATTCAGTTGACTTGGACAGCCTGAGGAAGAGCATTGCGGTGGTTCCACAAGTATGTGATGATTTGTTTGTCTTCCAGTTGTTTGATTGTTGAGTTGATAAATGCATCATTGTTATTGTTGATGTTTGTTGATTTTATTTAACAGGATATTGGATATAGATTTAGATTTGTATTTTTATAGATTAATTTTTTTTTATTTGAGGAGTATGTGCATGCAAGATAACTCATTTTGCATGGCATGTTCATGTATACTGAGAAAAACTGTTGTGTTTACAGATTGAAGTGTAATAGCAATTCTGGAATCATACACAAAAGTCAGATTCTACAATATGTTATTCCTTTTTTTTTAACACAAAAGTTCCATTCTTTTAAAGAGTGAGTTACTAGCCATAATGCTGGTAGTTATTGTTCCTTAAAACAAATACTATGGAACTTTTAATTGTTTTAGGCTCGTATATAACTGATACTTTTTCTGTTACAGGATTGTGTGCTTTTCCATGACACGATAGCTTACAACCTCCACTATGGTGACCTGTCTGCAGATGCCAGCAAAGTAGAGGAAGTAGCTAAACTAGCTGATATCCACCAATCAATCCAGAGCTGGCCCAATGGCTACGACACTCAGGTAAGACTTCACTTGGGGTATCAGGTGGCCTTATGTAAAGATGCCTGTGTTTAGAAGAGTTTTGTTGAATTATAGAAGTTGAAGTAAAAGTACTGTGGGAGCACTGCTTTCTCCTTGTTTTTCTCTTAATCTTTCTCCTCTTCCTCCCCCTTCATTCTTGTTGTTGTGGCTCACATACCAATGCTTTTACCTCCTCCTCTACCTCTTCTATTTTGGCTTTTTATTTACTTTGATCTGATTCACAGGTTGGTGAACGTGGCCTGAAACTCTCAGGTGGGGAGAAGCAGAGGGTTGCTATTGCACGAGCCATCCTGAAGAACGCACCGATACTAGTTTTTGACGAAGCAACTTCTTCGCTAGACTCCATTACAGAACAAGTAGGACACATTCAGGGATTTCCTCAATTTCATATAGTCTTTAGTGGGATTTTGAGTAATAGTGTGGTTGGGGAGTTAATTATGCAAGATAATAATTAGATAATTTAACAATGTCTTTTTTTTTCTTCTTCTTCTTTAGAGTATAATGGAAGCTCTACGCCATGCAACCAAGGGAAGAACCTCAATCTGCATTGCTCATCGCTTGTCAACAGTCATGGATTCGGATGAAATCCTTGTGTTGGCTGAGGGCAGGCTTCAGGAGCGCGGGACACATCACCAGCTCTTGGCGCTTGATGGGCACTATACAAAGCTCTGGAATTCACAACACAAAGTGGATGAATAAAGATGTGATGTAATGATTATACTGGTAGTTGAAAAAAATGTTTTTTTCTCTCTCTTTCTAACTCTCTTGTACAGTTTTCATGTCTAGATGATCTGCTTACTGATTATTATCTTTGTTATGGTGTAAATACATAAATGTTTAATTTATTATTGATCAATATTTTTATTTTACTGAGGATGGCGTTACCTGTCAAGAAAGAAACTGCTCATCTATTAGAAAAAGAAGTTGATAGTAGTAATCCAGTATCACAAGACAGGAAGGTTTATTGATCAGATCTAATGTCCTCCAAAAACAAACAAACAAAAATATATATACACACATATATGTATATACACTTATATATATATATACATATATGATATTTATATACATATATATACATATATATACACAAATATATGTATATATGTATATAGTAATTTTACTTATATTTCTGTATGCAGATATAATCTCATTTATGCTTTAGATAACCTTTTAAAGAAAAACAGGATCTTGTTCAGTTCCAGTTAAAAAGTTTTTCTGCTAAACAAGAAATGTCAACCACTAAGGATATGGTGTACCTTAATCTAATTGGACTATTTGTAGTAATTACACTTATAAAAAATGTATCAAATATTCGACGTGGGTCATGTGTGAATGAAATTCAACCTTTGAAATTTATCACAGCATTCTTTAATTATCTAACCCTTAAGGGCCACTCATATTTTGATTGAGACATGGAGTCAGGCCAGCACAAAGCATTGTAATACTTTCAGTCATTTAGAAATGTACCCCCATGATTTATGTTACATATTTCAAAAACTTAAAAAAGAATGCATATAGGATGCATCATAGACCCGAGTTTGTATAGGCCTCAGGTTTACATGGGAAAAAAGTCAAACCATCAAAGGAAAAAAAGAGAGATAAGAAGTGGAGATAAACTTCAGTTTTGTCTTTACCTGCCTTGGGTTATAAAATCAGATGCAGTCCAAGGGTTAAGTTATTACACATTGTTTATTATTGTTTGTTTATTTTATATATATATTTTACATTCTTGGTGTTACCTGCAAGCATTATAACTTATGTCTTTAATAATGGTAACGACAGTGTTCCAAGGTGTTAAGCATTTATGGGAGAGAGATATTTATGGACTTATTCCTCGTAGCGTGTGAAGTGAGTTTCTGTGTTGCTTATTTAGGGTCCTGTGGAGGCACTGAAAATATAAGTCTAGTTCGAAGCACATCATCTTTTAAATGCTTATATGAGATCAGTTGTCCTGTCAAGTTCAATTACTGAATAACAATTTCTCATGATTTTGTGTATGTGAATGACTCCCAAATTTAGGTTTTGATTAACAGACAAGAGCTGATGAGAGAATTGCTCCAATGGGGCAATAAATAAACCACGTGGAGACATTTGAAGCTTACCATGCACTTGAGGATAGAATGTACATAATTTGCGGTATTTCATTAATTTTGGCTGAGAGATGTAATGTATATAAATAATTATCATTTGAATTGCATGAATATAAATAAACTTGGGAGATATTTCTAAGACTGTACTTTTGGGGAAATGTAAATAAAAAATGATTTAAAGAAACTGTACAAAATATGTAATATAATAACTTTTCCAAAATTTGTTTTTCATGATCCTTTTATTGTAAGATGGTTATAAGAAAAAAATTATTTGTCCTTCGCTATTTGATGATAAAACCCTATATAACATGTAAATAGTGAATGGTTTTCAATAGAATAAGAAATCAATACGGAAAATGAGGAGTTTTGCAGTGAGGAGAACCATTACTCCTAAGCCACTGGTGCTGGCAATAATTTTCAATAATCAGTCTGTCAGTCCTCATTCTCATATTCTTAAGTAAATCCTGACGCAACTGAGGCATGTTTGAATAAGGCATTGTGTCATATACACCTCGACTAATTGTAGAATTCACAATGTAAAAACTTGGTGCAGTGGGTCTTTACCCCTATTTGAAGCCTACCAAGTCGGAATTACTCGCATTGTTATAATTCGCTCCTTAACTTTTTATTCAGTAAGTTAATTATGCAAGGCAGGCTTTTTTTCTTTGTGTCAATAAATAAAATGAAAGAACGTTCTAAAGCCATTACAAATTTCACCAAATTCCTGAAATTCCCATAGCCAAAATGTAGTTCTTAACCTAGTGAGGGTAATTGCCCCATGTTTGAGAACCACTCCCTCTGTGTATGGGGGCATTACTAAATTCTGGAAATTTTTACTCTATCCTACAAAGGAAATTTTGAAGTACAATGGCAGAGAACTTTAGTAAATATATTTTAAAATGAATGTAATTTATTTAAACAGAATACTTCTACTGGGCAAATGTTAAACAGTATACCTCACTCCACTCATATCACTGGTCTATTCAGTTTAACATTAAAAGCTCAATTGCAAATGTCACTTTCAATGTATCATTTAGTGTACTTGGTATGCTGCCATTCTCATATGAGAATCCGTTTCATTTTTTATTCATTAGAAGCTGCAGTAACAAAGTATCAATATCCAACACAGAGAAAAAACTGGGTAGCTGTAATGAACTAATTGAGTGTTATGGTATGCAAGCCTTGTTTTAATTTTGCATATCCATATTTAATATTAATTTTTATTTTGTTTATATTATTTTTCTTATCACTATATATTTTTTTAAGATGAAAACTCGCCTTCTTACACAAAATAAATACTCACATCCAGTATTGCATTACTTTCTCATTATAGTAATTATTTTTCTAAACTTCGGCTATGCATTACCAATCATCCAGCTCATTATTTTAAGACCATTACTTCCCTTGTAGGTATAATAATAAAAAGAGAAAAAAATGCTCCAACCACTCTTTAATCCAAGCTGCTTATCACAGTTGACAAATCAGTACCAAGCTGTAAGTAAGCTATCTGGAAAATGTAAAGACTGCATATGCAGGACTAAACTATAGGTCTGAGGCATAACGGAATTAACCTAAGCTAAAAAAAAAAGAGAAAAAAAAAAAGAGCAATAATTCCTTGTTTCATAGATGTTCTGGGTAATTACGTACACAGGAAGAAAGAAACGTGTAACTTAAATTCATACATTCTGCAATATCAATTCCTCAAATCAAAATACTTCTGGGCATAGCGTGGCAAGGGAATCTCAATTGAGGAATTAATATTAGGAACCAATTTTACCACTTTGGTATAAGTTCCTAAACTGTTGACTCTGGACTACTCTCTTTCCTGTAACACATCAGTAACAATGATCAATAAAGCTGATAATGATATAATAATAATAATAATAATAATAATAATAATAATAATAATAATAATAATAATAATAATAATAATAATAATAATAATAATAATAATAATAATAACAACAACAATAACAATAATATTAAAAAGGAATACACAAATACTGCTATCATGATGAAAATAAATAAAAGTTGTATTAATGATCATCAATAATGACAAATTACAATTATGATAAAAAAACAAACGAACAAAAAAGCAATGGATAATAGTAAGGCAATACTAATACTTATGGTGATGGCTGATAAAACAGTATTAATAATATGTAACAATAACTGAATAATTACAGCAATATATAATTTATTTTTTTATTAGTCAGTGATAATAATAGATAATAATACTGACAGAAATGAGTAATATTAATTACATCAACCAAAAATTACATTAACAATAATAATGATGATAACAAAAATTAATACAAAAATAATAACCATAATAATAATCAAAGTAATAACCATAAAAATAAAATAATAAAAGAATGATTAACATAGCATTGATTATGACAATGATACTAATGAAGACAATGAATATAATGCTAATGAACATGTTAGTAATAAGAGAGATCAGGATTATGACATTATTGGAATGATTCTCATAATGATATTCATGAAATAAATGAACATCAAATAAATAATAACAGCACAAACAGATATTACACAACTGCTATCAGAATAAAGCCCAAACTGAGTAGTCTTATCACCTGCACCATTAAAGCTGGCCTGCATAAACCACATCCACACAGCAGAGGAACAAGTACCATCAGAGAATATACCGAGAATTAAAATTGTTCTTATTTTTAAGATTACAAATGAATGCAATATATAAGTAAACCTTTGTGAGATTTTGATCGCAAACCAACATTCAAAATTAAATTTTGTTTATTTACACAGAGTAAGAACATCACACTGGATATACAGCAATAATGTAAAATAATACATTCACCATCAAGACTGATAATTTACAGTAATCATAATTCTGAATAAATCATATGTATTATATACTTTTGGCAGTTTGGCAATAAATACCATAGCAGGTATGGAAGATGTGCAGCAGGCATTCCATCTCTACATATGGCACTTTGATGTTTCCTTTATGCAAAAGGTAGCAAGAAATTTTGCATTGTAGCTCTGGAGGATTACCAAATATGTATAGTTCTTAGCTGCATATTAAGGGAAAATCATATGCAAGTATTAGAATGTCAGTACAAGGCTTTAGAGGTGATAATCTTAAACCCTCTTGCAACTAGGCTCTGCCTCACATCTGGAAAGAAGACACAGAAGAGAGAGAGAGAGAGAAAAAAAAAAATAAATCAAAATCAAAATCACAGAGATATAGTAAAAATGAATGAAATCTTTTATCATTCAAAAACATCCAGAAAATCACTTCACTTTAAGAAGACACCAAGGCAGAATCATGTGCCCACAGTCTACAAGTCTGCTTCCCAGAGAAGTATTTCAGTTCATAGTGCTAAGCTTCACAATACATCAGACTTTACAGGTAATGTTCACTTGTTTCTAAAAGAAGTTAAAACACCTGCAAGCATCAGGTAACTGCCAAGTACTCTGTCACAAACAGAGATTGTCATGAGAGGTGAAAAGTTCAGTGTTGATGCAAGTCAGGTTTCTTCTACATTTCTACAGTTGAAAAATTACAAAACAAAATTAAAACGGGTATAACTGTTCTCATATTTTATTTTATTTTATTTTTTGGTTTGAGGTATTTACATCTTGAGCTCAGACTCTTACTCACAGCTTGAGCTTTTTGTATCTTGTATCTTGTTTGTTCAGCATGATCATGCTTAATATGTCAACTGTTCAAGACGTGACATTAGTTTGAACTCTGGCTAAATTCTTAAAAATTATATCTGAAGTTCTTTATTCCCCACATTATATAACAGCAGACAGGTTTACCTTCAGCACTGACCAGTGTCCCAGGGCATAAAAATTGTATAAAAAGACATTGTGCTACATAGGTGTTGGGTCAAGGTACTTCGAAGGTCATCAGGTGCTGAAGATACTGCAGCAAAATTGCCTAAATTCTCATTACCACTCCCTGACATGGAATAAAAATATAATAAAACAAGAAAATATGGTTGTCTACACCTATCTGTAGCTTTGTCAGAATACAAATAAATATTCCATTTGAAGTTTTGCTTTTTCTATATCTCAAACACCTTTAACATTTAATATCTTAAATAACCCTATTTAATTCACAGCTTTATCAGTAGTATACACTCTTTGTGACAAGTGGAATAATAAGGAAGCTAACACTTTCAACATGATCAGACTTTTCTTACACATTATTATCTATAAGAAAGAAAGAAATAGTAATAACAAAAGTAAAAACAATCAAAATAACAATGCAAGACACAAAATAAGGGGAAACAGTACTAAATCTTTGCAGTATCTAAAATTTTTTTTCTTTTAAGAAAAATCTGATCATGCTATGTGTATGGAAGTGAGCCCAATAAAGAACTGATTATGAGTAAGGCCATGTCCTAATGTCTTTCATATCATTATCCTTTTTTTCTATAGAATTTGCTGTCTATAATAATGAGACCTAGTGGCAGATATAGAAACAACAAGTCATGAAACCTTTTAAAAGGCGGGTCATATCTTAACGTACCTATAAAAAAATATTCTTCCATAATGCACTTATTACTGAGTATCTGCTTTAGTAGAGTTTTTATCATTTTACTTCATTTTCATACCAAGATCTTTGAAGAACAATACTTTCAACACCTATCTGAAAACTATTCCACCCACAGCACAGACAATTCAACATCTTACTGTGTTGGAGGAAAGACACCTCTCATGACTTCAAAAGGAAGCCAGTGAGATTTTTAAAATATCATTTTCGCTTTACATCTTTTTTTCCTCGAGAAATATATAAAATGAAATACAAAGTGTGAGAAAGAAGTTCATCTGCAGAAAAAAGTTAGATGGATATCCAGCCACACATGTAAAGTTCTAGGAAAAAGGAGGTCCCTCATTGGCAGATACATTGTACACATTTAGCTAGTGTGTCTGGTTCAAAATAACCAGCACCCCAAAGAAGAAGAAGAAGAAGAAGATGAAGAAGAAGAAAAAAAGAATAATAAATAAATAAAAAAAAAGATAAGGAGAAACCTGCGTTTTTTCCTATTCTGTTGCATTAGACAAAACAACACCTAAGATTATGGCACATCTTTTACATACTGTATATATATTATTCAAGTTTGGGATGATCACAAAATAGATGACATTCGGACGTTAACTGTTGGTTTCCCGATAACAAAACTACAAATTACAAACATTCTGAAAGAGATAACTTACAAATACCAATCCCAAAAAATAATATTCATATTAAATAAACTGACTTCTATAGCTGGGGGGAGGTTCTCTACACTAATACCAATCTTGTCTCTGAAAACATTTAGCCTTCCTAACTTTACATTCTATAAATTAATATCGTAAACGAAAATGTAAAAGAGGGAAACCTAAAAAAATAATTACTTCTGAGATCTGAAAGAATAAAAAACCTAACCTTAAGAAAAAGAAAAGAATCACAGACTACATGAATGTCTACAATCTATCATAAGGTAAAGAACTTGAAATAGACAAGGCAACGGAAAGCTTACCACTGACTAGAACATGAGCACAGAATCAGATTCTGAATCGACTTTGGTTTTATGGGAAATAGATTAGCATCATGGTAATGCCCGAAATGGTTCCTAAATGTTAGAGGTGCATGCAGGGGTTACTGGCAGCCATTCTCAAATGCATCACAAAATGCAGATAAGCAAGGAGTTTTCCCTTAACTTAAATATCACTTTGTTTCATTCCCTGCTTTTGTCTCCTATTGGATTAAAAATCTACAGATGGCATCAAACACTGTTACATTTCAAGACCATTTTTACACAAGAGTTTATTATTTCTATTTCAACACACTTACACTTATTCTGCTGCTGCTACACTTCTGTTTATTTCAAATCTTCTAATAAGTTTTCCTTTTACAGGTGATGCAATATTTTTGGAACAACACTCTTCTCCACACCTTTACTTCTTTTACAAAAAATTAAACTTTCTCTTTACAAAATAAAGAACATATATTGCTTTTGTCATCCTCTTTAAGATCACATATTTCCACACAAGCATAAAAAATTAATCACAGTTTTAAATATAGCACAGAGCTGCCAAAATAACATAAATCTTAAAATGTACATGTAAAATACTGGAGATTTCGAGCTAATAACCCTTCCAAAAACATCATATAAAACTAATAACATGGAATTATACAAAAACACTTTTCCATTTTGTTTGAGTTCATTTGCTTTTTAATTTCCAACTGAGGTTTTTATGAGAAATACTGGTGATGATGACTGTTTTTTCCTTTCCCTTTTAGCAAAAGCATTCAACTTATGAAGAGCTGGAATTGTGACCACTTTTAGCTAACATTACAGAGGCTTGTGGCAAGGCAATCTTATGATATATGTGAAAGATTGTTTCTAAGATAAATTTTCGTTTTCTTTCTCAAGAAAAAGGAAATCCAAATCACAAAGTAATATAACTTTCTTCATTAATATTACAGCTGAAGAAAATCAAATGATACGCACAGGCTTTTGTTTTACACCAGATATTTCTCATATAAACTGTATTAGACTCAGATGAAGACAGACCTCTATACGTGCTAGAAAGTAAGGATAGGGCCAGTTCGATGGTCAAGAATATCTGAAAGAAAGAGTCGATGAGTTATATCTCATCTTTTGCTCATTTGTGACAATTTCTTCAGAAGTACTTGATATCAGAACCAATAACAAACACATATTCATGAGAGTGAATAATTCATAGATTATGAATCTTCAAACACGATGTTATTCTAAAAAATAAAAAACAAATTCTCATATTATAACTTTACCTGTAATGATAGTGAACCAGGGTAATGTGACGTAAGTGAGATACGCATTGAGAGGAACTGACTGGGCTCTGCGGGATTCCTTCCAGAAATGGAAAGTTTGTGTGAAGCCTTTGGTTGTCCAGAGTGGGTTATAGGCTCCATCATCCAGTTCTGTAATTATTGGCAAAATTTCTAAATGGAACTTCACACCACAGAAAATATGTGGGGGCTAAGGTGGCTCTAAAAATGCCTCTTTGTTCCTATATTTGTATTCCTGCTTTCTCTGATGCCATAGCTTGAGTTTTGATAACACTCGTAAGTTTATTTCCAAATAGACACGGAATTATGTAGATCAGTGAACTCCGATTCTCGTGATGCTTTTGAGTTTTTTCTGTTTTCCCATCATTCAGTTCTTAAAACTTGCTAAATGGTATCACCAGTAAGAAAAATGTAACACAGAGCTCCTCGCTACTGGAATTAAAGTTTATAGCACTCCAAACTGGAGGCATATCTTCATGTTGATCTACTCTTCTGAAAAGTGTAACATCACTATAGATATTTCTCACTGCACTTCACAGATATATCTGAAAACATAAATGAGAATTTAATTTTTCATTTGTACTAATACATCAGGGGAGTAAAAAAAGAAATAGGTTAAGGAGGATGGATAAAAAAGGGTAATTACAGAACCCATATAGAAGGGAGAAATGAAGAATCTTGCATTTAGAAAGGAAAAACAAAGAAAGGACCATTACATGTACTGGGAAAATGAGGAGAGTATCATGAATCTTTGTATTTGATGCTAAAAGATCCTTCAGAACCAAGAGGCCATATTATGAATGTGTAAACAACTATGCAAAGAATGAGCAAGATGCAGCCATATCTCTCTTTGCATGGCCAGAAACAAAAATAAACTGAAAATGATTGTTTTTAAAATTTGATTTAAAAGGAAAAATAGTCAAGCACAAAAGACAATACTTGAAATATAAGAGGAAAATGCTTGCAATTCAAATTTCTCCTTGGCATATTCAATTTTCTTTCAGAATAATCCACACTACATCGTACATACTACATCATGAACCAGTGAAATACACTAAGTTTTAAACAGACAGTACTTACAAAATTAAAAAACAAACAGAAAATGAACTGAATGATAATCGAAGCTTACATCAATCCTCCAAAAACAAAGTTACATAAACAACAGAATACTATAAGAGGAGTAATTCTGGACTCAAAAGAGGTGCAGCTGTCTTTCCTTTGACACCTCCAGAGACAAACGCATTGTCCAGTGCTAGTGAGAGGCATTTCTACAGCACTAACATGCCTGTTCTTGTTAAGGTGGAGAACAGCCGGGTCTAAGAAATAATAATTTTCAAAAATCAGGCAATAATTGGTATGGAAAGGTACATAAGAGGAAAATATGGATGTTGTTAGTATTGGTGTTAATCATAAATCAGCATTTCACATTATGATAATGTTCTAAGAAATCCTTAAACCTAGAAAATGTGGTAATAGTTTCATGACATTTGATAGCTAGAGACTGATTCAGGCAGACTGCATTATGATGTTAGAGTTTGAAGCAAGCAGATAAAGCCAACTCAGGATAAGAGTGAACATAAATATATACATATAAATAAACAAAAACACAGCTGAAAAAATAAAATATGAAATACAAACTCAACTAAACTACATCTATTAGTTCCTGGGTCTGACACTAAACTATTTTCTACAGCATTAATGGACACACACAGATGGTGGATGGTACATACTGACATCGCAGAGAAAGTTAACTTTCGTGCCATCAGGTGTTATTCTATATGGCACAGAGACTCTTCTTTTCTTTCTCTTGACAGGACTCAGGTTTAGGGCAGTTAGAGATTCTGTTGCTGCGTCCACAATTTCAACTTTTGGAATGGCAGATATCATGTCAGCAGAATCGACAGAGAGGCTTTTTCCTACTGGAGGTGGCTTTTTTAAAAGGGGTTCCTCCTCTTCTATTTCATCTGGATCGTCGGTCATATTGGAAGTGGAAGGAATAGGTTTGGCATCGACTACTGGGTCACTCTCAATCTCAGTATCACACAAGCTTCCTAAGGAATCTGGTCCACCATCTGATGTCTCCAGTGAGGCATCAGCTGGTGCAACCAAAATTCTCTGAGCACCACCTGGCTTTTTGCCCCCAAGTTTTGCAGAATGAATTGGCGAAACTTTGGGAATAACTTGAGGTGAGGAATCTATGGAAGAGGACTGGTTGGCTTTAGAAATTTGTTCCTGAATGCCTTTGCTTATAAAAGAAGTCTCACTACTTTCCTCTGAATTAACATCAGTTCTGGACAATGACTCGATCACCACAAAATCTTTGTGTGATGAAGAAAGGGCAGTATTCTCATTGGAATCAGGTACATTTGTAGACTTAGAAGACGTTTCTGTGTGTGTTTGTTTACTGTGATCATCTGGTGAGTCAGCAACAGGGTTTAAGAGAGGATCTGATGTACACCCTATAGGAGACATGGCCTGGATACTGGACTCGGTGTGTACTAAGTTAGGTGACTCTGACCGAGAGCAGGACGGGAGGAGTGGACTGCCCTCATGAGGTGATGGAGGGGTGGGAGGACGACCCAAGGACGGCTCGAGGGTTGGGGAATCACACTCAGGCTTGGGACCTGGTGTGTCTGAGGTCTGAGCTGCCTCTTCACTAGCTTCTACTGTGGGGCCAGATTTCACTGTCTGGTCCCCGTGAAAGTGGCGGCATTTGGCACACTGCACTTCCTGCGGCAATTCCTCCTCTTCTCGTATTGTGTTGCATGCTACCACTGAACAACATCTACCACTACACACAGCTAGAAAGAAAAAAGAAAAAAAATAAACATAAATCAAATGCCAATTGAACACCTTCCAAACATAACAATAGCGTAACTGGCTTCTCAGGCAAACATAAGGCTAGGTGCAAGTACAGAACGAAGGGCAAAGGCTATAACATCCACAAGGAAAGTGTGCTGCTTAAGACAAAGAGAATTGGAAGAGAAAAGAGGAATAGAAAAATGAAGTTTTGATTGGGCAAGCTAATAAGCACTTGACTCTTAATACCCCCTGGCACAATGCCTTTGACACTTGGCAATGCATCTCTCAGGTGACACCACTTTCCATTTGTTTCTGCACTTATCACTCACCTTCCTTTGTCCTTTGCTCGTAATTACATCTGTACCTTTAAAGTCTCAAGATGTCATCGAAGAATGTTCATCCTTTTCTATGCCTAAAATATTGATCCAAGTGGTAGAAAAAAAGTATATCATGTTAACTTCAAAATCACCTCTACACTTGGTTCCTTATCTCTTGGAAAGAGCTGAAAAAATTATGCAGGGTTCTTCCTCCCTGCTTCAGACAACGGGAAATTAACAAGCATCTACACGTGCTCACAAACGCAGCAAAAGATGCACGCAAAATAAACCATGCTTTTAATTTCTGGCACTCTTTCAACAATCTTCAATGAGCACTGCGACCATGCAAAGGCACAAAAGACTGAGCTAGCATATGCGCATATGGTACATCCTTCAAAAGTATGCAGCCAAAAATCTACCGTTCTATCCTTAAATGCAAAGGCATACTCAGGCGCTCAACCCTGTCCTATATCCCTCCTATATCTTCACTAGAAAAGTAAATTCACCTATGTTCAATACCCCTTTACTATATATTCATGGGCGGATTAATACATAAATAGAGAATGATTTTGAATATAGGAATAAATTATATAAGAAATAATACAAGTAGAAAAAGGAGAATGTGAAAAATGAATTTATTGAAAAAAGGAAGAAAGCAGTATTTTGACAGCCTTTATCATATACTAAATGATTAACACATCCCATATCTCCCCAAAGCGAATGAAAATTATGAAACTAAGCCAGCAGGTATCATCAATATCAATGTATGTTTATCAAGTCAACAGCATGAAAATGGCATAGAATTATTTGCACTTCTCTGTTTAATAACTCTTTTGAATATTTAGTTTGCCCCTGTTATAATAAATCTTCACCCATCCACCATTTCCCTATACTGACTTTGACAATAACCTATAATTGTTTCTCTAAACAAATTCTACATATCACCTACCTCTTTAAGGTTTCCGACATGCATCTTCATTTTCATTTCCTTCTATACACCAGTGTGTTTCCCAGTTTCATGAGAACTGCAAGTCTTGTCCCCGTATATTCTTTTACTCTGAATAAATACCTGACTTCTGCAATTTTTATTTTGCCTTTTTTTGTTCCCCAACCTTCTTTTACTCATAATTCACCCTATTTCTATTTACTGTATGTTTATTCCTTTCTTCATAAAATTAATTCAGGCAATGATCTACTTTCCCATTACTCATATATTTGTATTAGCTTACAGAAGCAATAAATTTTCTTTGCATTTCAACTATTTGTTATTTTTAATCTGACTGAATATTCCTGTACTCATGTCATTGGAATGTAAGTAAATATATCATCTAAATTTTCTTATTTTCTTTATGATCATTTTCTTTTTCTTGCTTTTGCTTTTGCTTTTAGCATGCCCAGTAACTCTAAAGCATATTTTATTCTTATACAATTTTTTCCATGCTCACAGCGATGCCTAAATAATTAAAACATTTTCACTTCATGCCAAGTCCCATCCGATAACTCATACTTACAAAATTGAACAAGAATAATATATGCAATAAAAAAACTACATGAAAGAAGAGTAAAATGAACAATTTAAAAGATACAGAGTTAAAGAAAAGAAAAGAAAAACCACACCAGTTTCCTCATGGTTATCTAAACATTCTACAACAGTCACGTCAAATAATGCCACATACTCATTCTAGTAGAGGTTTAAATGTGGAACTAACTATATCTATCATTTTACCTGCTAACTGATCTACATATACAGTATCACTGTATTTAGTTTTTAGAAGCCAACAAAAATATTTTACTAAGGGCCCAAAAACAACACTGACATCTACAGGTAATCACACATATGCAGCTGGCTATATCATTATGTAAAACCTTGTCCTCATTCTGCCTTTTTCAGGTCAAATCTCTAGAGCTCAATGCAGCACAACAAAGCTAAGCACAAAAAAATAAAAATAAAACAAAAATATGAAAGCTTTCAATGAATACTAGCCAACTACAAAATTACGTTCCTCATCTTGTCACTTTCCTTCCTCCTGAAACATAATACCTATAAACATGCAGCACACTCACCATCTCGCACATCTCCTGACTCAATTTCGTAAAGGCCATCAGCAAAAATATCAAGCCCCTCATTCTCAGAGCGCGACCTGGCTCCCTCAGAACGAGACTTCCAACCAGAGTTGATGAAAGTGTTGAAGTTGGCACTTGGGTCACTCAGTCGGCGCTACCACATAACACAAAAAGATCAGTGGCTCTGTACATTACATTGCTACCTCATTTTTTCTACTTATATGATGCAAATAGAGAAAAATTACAGTTTCTATTCACATATTCTTATCTTTAAGCTATTGTGGAAATTATATAACAAAGAGCACCATTCATTCATAAAGGTGTCGGCTCATGTCTATTTTTCTTGACAGTAACAAACAAAAAGGTATACTTCACAATTTCCTACACCAGATTAAAAAAAAACTATTATCAGCTCAAATCAATTTTCAAAATTTCTATGATTAAAAGCAAAGTGCTTGAAATTTTCAATATAACATTGTACATCTTTAAAACTGAATGCTTCTTCTCCTTACCTGGTGCCGATAGATGAACCTATCCTCCGGCTCGTCATCCCAGTCAGAATCCCACATGTCTGTTAAACTCACACCGGGCTCAGAGGTTGGAGTCTCTACGCCTGAACCTATAAGATAATACTCATTACTTATCAACGAAATACAGAAAGACACATACATTTATACATCTTTGTCTTTATAGTCTTTTATCTTTCAGAAGAAAGCGACTCACCTTTTGGCTTGGTCACAGCCATTTCTGCATGGCCCTTCCCTTGTGGTCCCTTCATGCGCACAAATTCTATGCGCTGGTTGCTGTTCCCGGCAAAGAGTCCCATCATCATCCTCTGAGCCACCTTGCTACTCAAACTTGCCTGAGTGTTGGAAGAGAAGACTTCAAATGAGAAAAAAGGTTCAGATTTAAATTATTTTGCATATGAACACATATATATTCAACTCATACATGCCCAAATCCCACACCCGCAACCACAACAACACCCACCCACACCCGCACCCACAACCCTGCATGAAAGATACCTCACAAGTATATGCAATAAAACTTTAACAAACTAAACTTGATAGAAAAATAGAATAACAATGAAGGTTCTCAGTACCTACCCGGGCATCGTACACTCGTTTCAGAGCATCATATCTGATTGACCCTAAAAATATGACAGCCTGACGTGTTCCAGCGTGATCTGAGGCAACCAGTTCAACGCAAACCATCTCTCCATCACGTACTAACATGTCAGCAAATACCTAGTAAATCAGGAAGAAATCTTTTAAAAAATTGTATCAAACATACTACAGGAAAACATGTAACATATACTTCTCATGCATAATAAGTTATCTAACAATGATTCAATACCTATGTTCATAGACAGGAATATCATAAATATTTACCAATGACACAAATTTCAGATAAGATACAGATAACCCTTTACCACAAAAACAAACCAATATGGTTAGCAGTACTTATCACCGAACAATACTTATCAACAAACCACAAGTTAAAAATATTTACTTCATCAAAGTTATCAACGTGGAAGCATACACTAGGGTATGTTATTTCCTCAACTTCTCCCTTGGTGTCCATGCGGCGCCTACTGGGACTTGCATACACTTTCTGTTAACATATAAGTACAAAGTAATCAATCTACGGTAACAATACTATCAAATCTAAGCAAGCATTACAAGAATCATGTAATGCATTCTGTTCTGGTATTCATGATATATTTAAGTAAAAAGTAATTAATCTACACAACAGTATCAATCAAAGTGATGCAAGCATTATGAAATGTATTTTCTAGTTACAAATCAACCACCATTACATCAGAAGGAAAAAAAAATCAGTAAAGAAGAAAGATGTTATAAAGAAAAAGACAAAGAGTTTATTTCCCTTTACCACAATATACCACAACGTCACGGAATCAGATCACAATGTTTGTCCTCTAACGACTTGCCTGAGAGTGTCGTCGGAGCACCTGCAGGTCCTTTGGGCTTGTACGAGTACATACAGCTAGTGTAAGGGTGTAGTCGAATTGGTGGATTATGAGATTCAAGTATACAGTTTCTTCCCAATCTATGTCAGGATCACCAATGGGAAGCTTCCTGCTGTCACGCCTATACACTTCTACCTCAGTCTGATGATTGAGAAATAAAATAATAATAATATACACTTATACACAGGCAAACACCTTGCCCTCCAACTCTTGCAATGCCTTTATAGATAAATGGATGCTAAAATATAAATATGTATATATATAAACAACCAACTGGCTTTAACAAAACCTGTATAATATTTTCAGGAAAACAACTACACATCGTTTCATGAAATATACTGAATGCTAAATGAACCACTGTATATAAAACCACAGAACCTGTGAGAATAAACAACTACCTGGGAAAGATTTTGCTGTATAAATCTTAATAAGTCTCAAAAAAATTTACTAAAATTTATTTCATAGTAATTAATATAATAAACTATGTGGATCCCATAATAGCATTCCTGAAGTTAAATACATGTCTACAGACAAACAGAAAACACATATTGAGCTTACCTGGTACTTTGGAATATACCGAGAACCTTTAAGCTGTTTCTTTCGGATAAAAAATAACAAGTCATCAGCATCTGTGGACCGATCCGTTTGGAAGAGAAAGTGCCGCACAAATAGGTCTGTCCAATATGTGGTCCCTTGCACCATCACGAACCCTGTATCTTGGAAGATAAAAAAAAGATGTGAGCACTCCATTTTAACATGTTCCCTCGACTGTCACTATGTTTATATAAAACTTTCTCTTATCTCTACAAAATCACCCTTATTACCACAATCAGACTATCTTACAGAAAAAAATAACTATTCAGCATTAAATAATAATAAAGATACATCTATACATGTGTTCAGTACACTCAATCAAAACAATTAAAATCATTACCAAGTTATGAGAAATGTACTTTTAATATGTTTGTGTAATCAACTTTAAACAGTTCTACTATGAGAGTATCAATTAATCTAAGTACTCTAAACTTACAGAGACCATATGATATATGTTGTTATCAATTAATGCTGTTTATTGTGCTGATAAGTGTGCTCAGAGAAAATTCCTGCCAAGAGTACTTTTGGTACAATCAAAGAATTTCATGTAATAGATAGGAAGTGCATTAAAACGTTGTCATCTGATTTCAGGATACTTTTAATGAGGAAAATAAAACAAAATCTGATATGAATATCATTAAGATTATATGTATAGAGGTCTCAGAGATCTATACATATTCTGGGATTGAGGGAGATAGAAGGGGTTAGAATTCCTTCATTATAAAAATAACCATAATAATAATAATAAAACAATTGATAAATTAATAAAATAGATATGAAAGGGTTTAGTCCTTAGCAAAAAAAAAAAAGAAATGCACTGAGGCTTAGGCAGAATCGACATTATAAAACTTGATACTAAAAGGTTTACAATCAATATTCCATGTGGTTGTCAATCATACAGACCACAGACATCCATTGAAAATCAAATATTCCTATTGTTCCTTCATATAAAAATGGGACTATGCAAATGGCAAGCAAAGATAGAACAATAATAATACGATGTCATTTGTTGGAGAGAAACCAAACTCTTCTCATGTGACAAGATTTGGGTTTCTTTACAGCCAGATTCATGGAAAAATAAATTCTAAGACTGTGACTTGATAAATTTTGAGTTTTGAAAGATGGGTGAGGGAGAGTGCTAACAACCCATGCAACCCCCAAGCGGTGATGCCCCTTAAGCCTATGCATGTAGCATCTTGACTCTATCATTCAAACAAAAATATATATCATTAGTTGATACTATAATGAAAGAACCATGTCATCATCTATTATCATTCATTCGCCTTATGGAAACACGAAAGAGGAATCAGACTATTTCACGTTCTATGTTACTTGAGTCTAACAGCAATTTTTTCCCAGTTTCGTAAAAGTAATTTCACATCCTTCAAAGGTATTTAGAGAGAATCTGCCTTTTCTGAATGTACACTTCCACTTCACAACCAGCATACTGTACCAAGGAATGAAAAATGGTCATGTGATGAAATATTACCATCCCAAACCACACAACACAAAACCATGATTTAAAAATACTAAACAACATATAATTAAGCATTGTTTACATCACTGACCACCTTGACAGAAATTAAACCTGTCACCAGAGCCGCTGAAAGGAGAACGGGTGTTAATTAGCGTTAATGAGGCTCACCATCCTTGGACATGAGACACTGCCTCATCTCCTTGGCTCGCTGGAAGTTAATTTCCTCGATCAGCTGTTCCAGAGCTGTCACGTTCCTCAGGATGTCCTTAGCTCCCAGCCCAGCCATGGCGAGTGAGGGGGAGGAGGTCAGAGGTTAGAGGTGAAGGTTTTTAACTCAGGAGAGGAGTGTGAGTCATCGCCCTCACAGCTGTCTTAACATGGAGTAGCAGACGACATGAACGCTGTCTGTCTGTCAGTCCGTCTATCTTGGGGGCAATCCCTCCCTGTCTCTCCTCCTTCACCTGTCGCACCCTCAGCGCTGACTCTCTCTCTCTCTCTCTCTCCGCCCCCGCCTCCCTCCTCGCCGCGTGTAAGATGAGTCTAAAGGCGCGATGAGCTCGGGAATGAGGTCATGGTGGCTCTGAGCCAGGGCGAGTCACGAGGCCGAAGTCGGAGGCAGGGGATTCGAACGTGGACGACGCGTTTGCCAGACGTACAAAGTTATTTGTTATTACTTGAGATAGTCTTTTCTACCTTATTCTTTCGGATATCACAGGATGTAATAAAGCGTTTTGTTCTATATGTTCATCATCTTAGTTACTACCACATACCCGAATCAGAATATATGTGATGGAATGCGGTATGACAAGAGGGGTATGTTTAACAACACAAAACACCAATTCTTGAACTTAATAATTTCTCATGTCACTCCAGTTAGTCAACTTTCTAGCTGCAGCGAATCACTTTAGATATCACAGTAAGAGTAAACAGAAATCTTCATATCCTTAATATATGCCTTCCCCCGTGCATACTGGATGTTGACAAGCGTGTTATCGAACGCGGTTGATTTGTCAAGATAGCGTTTAAGCGCTGAATTTAATACATTGCAAGGGAAGTATAGTATGCACAAAATGCATATTTCCAAGATTTTCGCACAATTTGTGTATATCAAGCAGATACTGATTTTCATCATTTACAGAAAGAAGAAGGAAAAGACAAATGGTTACAAGCGACGTACAAGAGTCGACCGATATCAGGCTCGTTAATCCATGGTTCAAGATCCATGACGCTTATCAATAAAGTATGCAGTTATGCTCAGGGTGCACGGAATACATATCATTTTGATTAAAGACACAGATTTTTAGTGTTTATTGTCGCCTTGTCGAATTATATTGCAACGTATATATTTTCAACAAAAGCAATTACTGAATGTTGCATATTGCAAAATTAGAACATTTAGAAACTCGTTTAAAACGTGTCGATACTACTGATCATTCAGGAGCTAAGTCGATGATAAATGTAATACGTGATCAATAAAAGGGAAACTATACACGATATTCTGGAAATGACATATCTGTATAAAAAAAACATACTATGCACCCCGATCAATCACGTATAAACAATACAGATAAATAATCACAACTCAGCGCTTTTGTAGCAGCCTCCGCACCAACCCTAGCGCCTTTCCCCCACCCGCACATGGCAACACTGGAACGCAGCCTTGAGTCAGTGTCAGGCCGGACTTCTTCTGCGAGTTTATCGGTGACTCATCCCCATCACGGGGATCCTACGTCATTCCACATCGCGTGATCGCCAGCGGGAAACAACAGGAACGATTGCCTCATTCCGGAGCGAGTGACAGAGCGCGAGACACCGAACTCTAGCGCCATCCTCGGGAAGATTTGCTGAGAGGGAGAAGCAGTAACTTTTCCTCGGGTCGAGAGTTTGTTATTGTTGTTGTTGGCGTAATCTCTCCTTCGTTCATTCATTAATTCGGTTCATTCACAATGTTTTCCTCGGGTCCCAACTACAACAAGCTGAAAACCAATCTCAGACTGGCGATTAGTAGGCTGAAATTACTGGAGAAGAAGAAGACGGAGTTGAATCAGAAAGCGAAGAAGGAGGTAGCTGATTACCTTGCAGCAGGAAAAGTAAGTTATTTTTGGGCGTGTTTGGTTTTGGAAGGATTTCTATTTATAATGATGATGTCATAGGTCGTTGGCAGATCATTTATATTTGTTTTGTTGGGGGATTGATGTGAATTGATAAATATCAAGTCATATCAATATGTTAAGTAAAATTTGTAATGGACTGGAGTGTTACTGATGACATTATCATTTTATCACTTTATCTTTCATAAAAAGTTAAATCCTACGGATCTGTTCACGAGGAGTAATCTTCTGATATATCCAAATATGACTAGAGGAATCAGTTTTGTGTATGACAATCAGGCTTTCATGACTGACATATGGAATTGATAAATTAGTGAAATCTAAAATGTTTTTTCATGAATGGCATTTCCTGCTCAAATTGAAAATGTTATTTGATATAGAAATATGATTCTCACAGCTGCTCTTTTGACCTTCATTCTTCACTGGTAAAACAATCAGTGGGTAATTTTTTCCAATACATCTGCTTAATGGATCACGGCAATTTTGGTATTGTTGGGTTCCTCTCACCGTCTACAATGCAAATATGTAGGTTTTATTGCACAAAAGAACCACCAAACCCCCAATAGCAGGGGAGGGCATGAAAGGTACCAGGGAAAATCATGGTAAAATGTTAATGATTTACACAGAATCAGTCACCCCCATGTAAGGCTGCCGGTCCCCAACCACCGCCCAGGAAAACAAAGGATCCTCCATGTATTGATGGTATGGGAGATTGTTGGACAGACTTGGCAACGCTCCTGCATGGCGGTCATATGTTATCTCCTGCCGCGAATACGAGGAGGATTCTTTGCTTTCCTAGGCGGGGGTTGGGGGCAGCGTCCCTCATGGGGGGTCCTGCATTTTTTAATGGTTACAATATATTGTTTACAATATAGTTACAGATTCTGTGTATATTATTTACATTTTACCCTGCAATTTCACTGGTAGCTTTCATGTCTCCTCTGCTATCAGGGCCAAGAATGTTGGGGTTTGGGGATTTCCCATGCTGTAATTCTTGTATATTTGGAAACTAGATAGTGAGAGGAATCCAGTGATGCCAAAATCATCATGATCCTTTATGAGGATGTATTAGAAAAAATTACTCAATTATTGTTGTATTTTTTTTATTGATGTGCATTTGTCTAGAAAAGAGCCATCTATCAGGGAAAAAAATGGTTCCTTGCCTTTTAGTTTGTTTGCCGAAAATGATCATTGAAAGCTTGTAAATTAAGTCATTGTTAACCTCTTCACTCTGCTGGTTTAAGAAGCAGGCGTTGCTTGTTTACAGGTCTCTCACCAGCGAGCAGAAAATTTGTTTGTGTTGTCGTGAATGTCTCTCATCTAATACAGTTTCTGTGTCTCTCTCTCTCTCTTTTCTCCCTCCCCCCCACGCACATGTACATACACATGCACACCCACACATGCCTGAGAGAGAGAGAGAAATCTAGAGACAGAGATGCAGAGATTGTCAAATATGAAATTGTTCAAAGATATTTGGTGTAAAATGTTGAGAAAAGAAGGAGAGGGATAAGAGGGGGGGTATGAGGACAAAGAATGAAACAGGGAATGAGAAAGTGTACCCCCCTTTAGTCTCCCATCCCTGGTGGAGGGGTATGGGGTGAGGTAAAGGAATAGGGGGTTATGGAGGACAGGGGAAGGACCACAGAGGTGGAAACTGTGATGTAGAATCTGCCAATGATAGTTCCTCATTCTGAGTATGGGGTGGGGCATAGACCAGCTGATGTGCATCATTAGTGCGGACAGGGATGGTGGGTGGAGCTACAGTCTCTCTAGGGCAGTATACGGAGTCTAAAAATAGATCCAGTACAGAATGTGGGATCACTCAGCAACAACTAAAATAAAAAAAGGAAGGTTTGCAAAAGTAGTGGACACCAGATTCATTCTGACAATCTCTAACCATGTTTGGTATTTAAATCATGTCTGTAAATTTCACGTTTTCACAGGCCAAAAATATACAGAATCAGTGGTTTACTAGTATGACAGATGCTTGCTTTGTGAAAATTGGGTAGCAAAATAACCTACCAAAAAGGCTTCAAACTTTCAAACTCTTTGCATAATTTTCATGTCATATGCATATTTTACAGGTAAGCAGTACACAGAATTGATAGTTCAGCAGGTGCTATTATTTTTTTATTCTATTTTTTTTATTGTAACAGTTGTTATAAATAAAAAGGTAAAAGATTAATGATACAAAATAAAAGCATTTAAATGTAAGACCTTTTGGTAATTTGGTCACCATGAGCACGACCATTGTTTATACAATTTGGGATTCTCCTTGGCAATGTATTATTGTGGTAGAATGTAAGTAATAAAGGTTCCTTGGATCTCGTTGGATCACCAGAGGTATGCACGTTATATTGATCATTTGAATTTTTTGTTATCAGGGTTTATGTCTTATATTTTGATTTTCAATTTGCAGCAACTGTCTTAACAGCTCCAATACTATTGATATTATTTCATGTCAGGAATTAGAATTTTGACAGCTACTTTTTTTTGGTAAAGATATTTCAATTTGAATCAATGATAACTAGGATTTTATGGATAGCAAATGTCACATTTACAATTTAGATGCATACGTTTTTATGATAGTGTCATTTGTCATTTGTAGTCCGCATCATCCAATGTATGGTTGCATCAGGCAGTGTTGTAGCTTTTGTGCTTTACACTCCAGAAAAGACCAACAGAATTCCACCATGGCAATTAAGAGCTCTGACTAGTTCCTTAGTTGATGACAAATTGCTAAAGGGGTACACCAGTTCATATTTGCTAGAAGTTCGCTAACTTTAGTGCAGAAGTCGTTGAGCTAATTGATGTGTAGATTGGCAGACTTTGATGAGCAGTTGTGGGCATAGCTATACCTGGTGCAGCTTCTTTTGCAAACCTAATAGCAATTTTTTATGTGTACTCTATGATCATTACTATCTTTTCTTGATTCAATGATACTATAATGGCACAGAATTTTCATAGTTGAAGTGTTCAGCTCATTATTATTATTATTTTTTACAAAATTTGAAAATATTTTATGGCATTTGTTTTCACATATATTTTTGTTTGATATGAATGCACAAAGCTCAGTCTTTGTATGTTGTATTTGATATTTATAATGATTATAGAGTAAAGTAGTTGCAAAGATGAATTTAAAAGTATTTGATAAAAATATACTTATAATGTGAAAGGAGGAACAAATTTTTACAGGGTTTTTGTTATCTTGAAGTCCAAAAATAGATTTAGAGGTGTTTCAGTGCATTAGTATTTCATCATTGTTTAAAAGTGTTTATCTTGTGTAGTTAAAGTCACCAAGGTGGGCAGATTATCCTACAGTAGTCAGTCATTTCTTGTATTTTATTGTAGAAATAAAGATACTGTTGAGTTACATATAATCGTAAAAAGAGAAGAGTAACGTTTAACGCTGTGAATAGTATGTACTATCCCTTTGTATAATAACATTTATTTTCATTTCAGGTTGAGCGTGCAAAGATCCGCGTTGAATACTGTATCCGGGAAGATTATTTGGTTGAGGGTATGGAGATGACTGAATTGTACTGCGACATGATATTGGCTCGTTTTGGTATCATAGAACAAAGCAAGTGAGTGATTCATAGAAGAAAATACTAGTATGCTATATAGGTGTTTCTATATAAATGATTCATGAAAACTGTACTGAACTCTGGATGTTAAGGAAATTGAGGTTATGATATGATATTTCTCTAAATATATTTACTGGAATTCGTTTCAGGGAACTAGAAGCAGGTCTTGCAGAGTCCATATCATCTGTGATTTGGGTGACCCCGCAGCTTGCGACAGAGGTTGCTGAACTTAAAGTAATCTGTGACCAGCTGACAAGAAAGTTTGGAAAACCTTATGCTATGGTATGCAGATTTTTTCATGGATATGAGTTTTTCTTTCTTTTTGATAATTGTGCAGTGCGATTATTATCTTATTCATAATGATGAGAACCATGCAGTATTGACAATAGTTATCTTTCTTGGCAGGCTTGTCAGAGCAAGGAAGTGTCTACTATAAGTGAACGTCTGATTCACAAGATGAGTGTCCAAGCACCGCCCAAAGTAATGGTTGAAAAGTATCTAGTTGAGATTGCAAATAATTACAACATTGAGTATGAACCGGACCCACAGGTAATACCATTGATTTATCAGTGTTCATGAATGCCACATTCAGTGCTTTTCATATAATCTTGTATTATTGAATGCCATATACAGTGTTTTATATAGAATCTTGTATTAGTGAATGCCATATTCAGTGCTTTATATTAATCTTGTGGCCTTTCATGGCAATAAGATGTTATGGCAGTAATAGATTACATGTTGGTACATTATTTTTCCAAAAAGGCAAGAGCTCAAGAAGAGAAGTAATAACCAAACATTTTCTTTCACTGTTCCATATTAGGTAAT